CGGGGGGATCGGGAGGTTTTTCCCGGAGCTCTGATCCCTTTTCCCTCTCCTTTCCCAGCTGGAAAAGGCTTCTGGGCGGAGATGTTGGGAGTTGGAGACTTCTACTACGAGCTGGGGGTGCAGATCATCGAGGTGTGCCTGGCGCTGAAACACCGCAACGGAGGTGGGATCCGCCTTCCCTGATCCCGGGATCCATCCCAATCCCAGGGATCCGCTTCCCTGATCCCAGGATCCATCCCAATCCCAGGGATCCGCCTTCCCTGATCCCAGGATCATTCCCAATCCCAGGGATCCGCCTTCCCTGATCCCAGGATCCTTCACAATCCCAGGGATCCGCCTTCCCTGATCCCAGGATCCATCCCAATCCCAGGGATCCTTCCCAATCCCAGGGATCCGCCTTCCCTGATCCCAGGATCCATCCCTGATCCAGGGATCCTTCCCATTCCCAGGGATCCTTCCCAATCCCAGGGATCCTTACCAATCCCAGGGATCCATCCCTGATCCCAGGGATCAATCCCAGTCCCATCCATCCCAGTCCCATCCATCCCAATCCCATCCATCCATGGGAAGCTGGGAGCAGCCCAGGCGCTGTTCCAGGATAATCCCGGGCTAATCCCGGGCTAATCCCGGGCTAATCCCGGCATTCCCCGCTCCCAGGGCTGATCACGCTGGAGGAGCTGCAGCAGCAGGTGCTGAAGGGGAGGGGGAAATTCGCTCAGGACGTCAGCCAGTGAGTGCCGGGAATTCGGGATTGGGAAAAGGGGGGGGTCCCTTCCCAGCCTCGGGAATTCCCAGAGCTGCAGCCAGGCCTGCTGGATCCGCCCTTCCCACGGGATGCTCTGGGATCCTGAGCAATTCCTGCCTGCGGCTGGAGACCATTTTTTCCATAAAAATCCAGCCCAGGAGGGTTTTTTCCCTAAAAATCCAGCCCTGGGAGGATTTTTCCCGCTGGAACTGCAAGGAAGGGATGGATAAATCCCATCAGACACAGATTTTTAGGACAGAACTCCCATTTTTGGGGGCTGAACCTTCAAGGCTGCCCAGATGCCAAAATCCCAATCCCAAATTCCTTTATGGAAGCAATTCCCGGTTTTTAACAGCAGCACGGGGCTGTTCCTGCTGGAGGCTCCGGCATTCCCGGGGCTGGGATTGCAGCTGGAATTGCAGCTGGAATTGCTGCTGGAATTGCAGCTGGAATTGCAGCTGGAATTACTGCTCCCCAGGGATGATCTGCTCCGGGCCATCAAGAAGCTGAAGGTTTTGGGGAACGGATTTGGGATCATCCCGGTGGGAGGAACATTCCTGGTGCAGTCGGTGCCGGCAGAGCTGAACATGGATCACACGGTGGTGCTGCAGCTGGCAGAGGTGGGAATGATCCCAGAAAAGGGCTGGGAATGGGGAATTGATGGGAATGATCCCAGAAAAGGGCTGGGAATAGGGAATTGATGGGAATGATCCCAGAAAAGGGCTGGGAATGGGGAATTGGGATTGGATCTGGTTTGTGGGTGAAGCTGCTGAAGTGTGGATTTAAATCTGGATGAAAACCAGCTGGAAAAATCTTGTTTTTCCCATAATAAACTGGGATTGGTCTGAGCTGGGATGAGAGAGAGCCGGGATTTTTCCTGGATGTTTTCCCAGAAAAAGGGGTTTGTGACGGTCAGCGAGATCCGGGCCAGCCTCAAGTGGGAGACGGAGCGAGCGAAGCAGGTTCTGGTAGGTGGGAATGGGAATGGGAGAGTGGGAATGGGAGAGTGGGAATGGGAATGGGAGAGTGGGAATGGGAACAGTTCCTCAGCCCATCCCAGCCATTCCCAGCTATCCCAAACCCATTCCCAGCCCATTCCCAGCCCATTCCCAGCCATTCCCAGCCCATCCCCAGCCATTCCCAGCCCATTCCTGCCGTTCTCAGCCCATTCCTGCCATTCCCAGCCATTCCCAGCCCATTCCCAGCCATTCCCAGCCCATTCCCAGCCATTCCCAGCCCGTTCCCAGCCATTCCCAGCTGGTTCCCGCTGTTCCCAGGAGCAGCTGCTGAAGGAGGGCATGGCCTGGCTGGACGCTCAGGCTCCGGCCGAGCCGCAGTTCTGGCTGCCTGCGCTCTTCCCCGAGCTGCTCGCCCAGGACGGAGCAGCCCCGCAGCCCTGAGCGCGCCGGGATCATCGGGAATGACAGCTGGGATCCTTGGGAATGCTGGCTGGAATCATCTGGAATCCCTGCTGGGATCCTCCGCAGTCCTGGCCAGAAACCTCAGCAATACCAGTTGGAATTCTCCGGAATCCTTCCTGGAGACCTCGGGAATCCCCCCTGGAATCCCTCCTGGAATCTTCAGGAATCCTGGCTGGAATCCTCCAGAATCCTGGCTGGAATCCTTCCTGCAATCTCTCCCGGGATCCTTGGGAATCCCTCTTGGAATCCCTCCCAAAATCCTTGGGAATCCTTCTTGGGATCCTCAGAAATCCCTCCCGGAATCCTCGGGATCCCTCCCAATCCCAGGGACAGTGGGACTGGGAATAAAAGTTTTGTAAAAGGTTCCTGAGTTTGGGGAAGTTTGGGATCAATTCCCGCTGGATTCCCTGCCTGGTTTGGGGTGGAAATGGCTCGGATTGTGGAAAACGAGGAAAAGGAGCCGAGAGCGGAGTGTCAGAGACCCAAATGGGATTTGCAGTGGGAAATGGGATCTGGGCTCTGGGAACCCTGTCCTGCGGTGCCGCGGGAAATCGTTATTCCAGGAGAATTCCCACTAAGGAATACCACAGGCTCCGTTCTGCCAAAACAAAACTTTATTGCACAAAGGGGAAAAAAATAAAAATTAAAAACAAAAAAAGGGGGAAAAAAAGCCCAGAAAAATCCCAATCCAGGGAAAAAAAAAAAAGCCGGAATTCTTCTGTCCAACAAAACAGGCGGAGATCTCCGAGCGCCTCCTGTGCATTTATTGAGCTCCATTTCAGCCTGAAAATCCCTTCCTAAAACAGCTCTGCCCGCAGCGGCGGCCGAGGATTGTCACTGGGAACTGGGACAGCCCCATCCTCCGGGAAAACGGGATAAGGCAATTCCCACAATTCCCAGCCCAGCAGGCTGGGAAAGCTCCCGGGGACAAAAGGTGACGGTGAGGAGGTGACACCTGGGGATCCCCTCAAGGGTTAAATCCCAACTGGCCCTGGGGGGTTAGGAGCAGGGGAAACCATTCCCAGGTTGTGTGGGATAAACCATCCCAGGTTATTTGGGATAAACCATCCCAGGTTATTTGGGATAAACCATTCCCAGGTTATTCAGGATAAACCATTCCATTGGGATAAACCATCCCAGGTTATTCAGGATAAACCATTCCATTGGGATAAACCATTCCCAAGTTATTTGGGATAAACCATTCCCAGGTTATTCAGGATAAACCACTCCCAGATTACTTGGGATAAACCATCCCCAGGTTATTTGGCATAAACCATTCCCAGGTTATTCAGGATAAACCATTCCCAAGTTATTTGGGATAAACCATTCCCAGGTTGATAAACCATTCCCAGGTTGTTCAGGATAAACCACTCCCAGGTTATTTGGGATAAACCATTCCATTGGGATAAACCATCCCAGGTTATCCATCCTAGGTTATTTGGGATAAACCATTCCCAGGTTATTCAGGATAAACCATTCCATTGGGATAAACCATCTCAGGTTATCCATCCCAGGTTATTTGGGATAAACCATTCCCAGGTTATTTGGGATAAACCATTCCCAGGTTATTTGGGATAAACCATTCCCAGGTTATTCAGGATAAACCACTCCCAGATTATTTGGGATAAACCATTCCATTGGGATAAACCATCCCAGGTTATCCATCCCAGGTTTTATTCAGGATAAACCATTCCATTGGGATAAACCATCCCAGATTATTTGGGATAAACCATTCCCAGGTTGTTCGGGATAACTCCCGAGCTGTTCCAGCACAATTCCCCCATTTCCCACCTTTCTGCTGAGAGCAATCCCCAAATCATTCCAGGGTTTTTTTGGTTCCTCCAGGCCCCTCAGGACGAGCATCCCGGGCTGGGAAGTTTTCCCAGCTCCAGCTGATCCAAACTGGGGCCAAACTGGTGGGGAGGGGAGTGGGGGAGGGCAAAATGTGCAACTTTGTGCTCGGCTTTCTGTCCATGAAAACATCGGGATGGGGAAAATCAGCTCCTGAAGCTCTCGGTCACCCAACCTCTGCTCCAACGGATCCTCCCCGGGCTCGGCTCCCTGGAAAACGTGGAATTTTCACCTGCACCCGCGGCTGGGCGGGGCAGCACGGCCACTGCCACCTCTCCAAGGCAATGCTGGGATAAATCCTGCTCCGAGCACTCCCAGCGCTCCCAAAAACCTGGGATTTCCCAAGACTCCAGGATTTCCCAAAACTGTCGGATTTCCCAAGGTTTGGCGAAGGAATTTTCCCGAGATTCCCCCTGGAATTGTCCCTTTTCCGGGCTCTCCACGGAAGGACAGGGAGGGAGGGGATGGGAAAGGTGACACCAGAATTCCAGGTAAGGAAAAACCAGCTCCACCAGGAACAAAAACCCTCCCAAAACGCAAAATCCAAAGCGACGCTTCCGACGATAAAACACCAACCCCCTGAGCGTTCCCCTCCTCTCCTCTCCGAGCGTTTTTCCTCATCCTCCCTTTCCCAAACCTCCCGGATGAATAAATCCGTGGATTCCCGCAGTTCCCGCTTTCCACGTGAAGTTTCCAAAGCGCCCCAAGGCTCGGGGGAAGCTTTGGGGAAGGAGCCGCAATTCCAGCGGGGAGAATTCCTTCTTATCTTTGGTCTGCTTAGGAGAAAACCCCCGGGAACGCCCCCGGCTCTCCCGAATTCCACCTGGATGCGCCCCAGGGTTATCCGAGCGCTCCCAAAGCTCCAGGGAAGAGCTCCCTCCCTGCCTAGGAGCAGAAAAGCTCTCGAGGATTTGCAGTCTAGAGCTCATTCTTTAATCGGAGAAACAAAAAAAAAAACCAAAAAAAAAAAAACCTGGAAAAAAAACAACCAAAAAAACAAAAAAAAAAAGCAAAAAAACCCCAACCAGTGTAGGTGTTCTCCAAAAAAACCCCCAAAAAACCCCAAAAAGAACCTGATGCCACGTGCCAGGAAGTACCTTTTGTCCAACAGGAGCCTGTCCCGAGCTCGGCTTTGTCTCTTTTTGGGAATTCTGTGGGAAGTCTCCGGAGGGAGGGAGGAAGGGAGGGATCCGGCGGCTCTCCCGGCCCGGCTGTGCTGCAGTCCCGGGGCCGGGCCCAGCCTCCTTAGGCCTTGGGGCAGCCCTGAGTGTCCGGCTCGGGCTCCGAGGAGCTGCTCTCCGAGTCCATGTCGGCGCTGTCCTGCTGCAGCCGCTCCTGCAGCCGCGCCCGCAGCCCCTGCAGCCGCCCCAGCAGAGCCTGGTAGTCAAAGTGGCCGCGCTTCTCCCCGAAAGGATCCTGGGGAAAAACGGGAATGACCAACGGGGGTGAGGGTGGGATGGAGG